GGCATGCATCTTCTTATATTACAACTAATCCTCAAGCCACAATAAAACATCTCCTTTTAATGTATAATGGCATTTACATACATAACCCACAACTTTCATGTATTTACATATGTCAAGCCAAACCTTCATATTTACACGTAGCAATGATGACAAAATAGACTTTGTAATCCTCTCACCGGGCGGTAACCCCACTCTCCAACCAATGAATCAGCAGTAGAAAACGCCCTCCTTTAATAACGCGACAACGACCCCTGTTCTCCCACTCCTCAATCCGACGAAATGGACCACAATTCCCGGCCCCCCAATTCTCCCACCTCATGGCCTCTCTTCTCCTCCCCGCCCCCAGCCGGCGGCGACGAGTTCCACTCCTCCGACGATCTCCGTCAAGCCCTCCTCCGCACCACACTCGAGCTCGAGTCCACCCGCTTCATAGCCCAAGAAGAGCTCCGCCGTCTCGAGGCCTACGCCCTCCACCTCTCCCATCTCCTCAACCTCGCTTCACGCGAACGAGACGAAGCTCGCCTCCACGCTCACTCCCTCCTCCTCCTCCTCGATCACCGCCACCGCCCCGCGCCCGCCTCGTCTTCCTCGGAAGAGGAGAGCTCCCCTGCTGCAGCGGTGGCGGAGGAGGAGATGGAAGCGGCGGCGAGGAAACGGGGATTGCCGGAAAAGGGGCGACTTTTGGAGGCGGTGATGACTGCGGGGCCCTTGCTTCAGACGCTGATGCTCGCCGGACCGTTGCCAGAGTGGAGACATCCGCCACCGGCGATGCAGGGGTTTGAGATTCCGCCGGTAGTTATGAACGCGGGTGATCCGAGGAGCAGGAGAGGGTCGCCGGAGCTGGAGTCGGAGAATAAGGTGCAGTTTTTAGGCTGAAGAATTTAGATGGGGATTATTAGAAGATGAGATTATGTCTATGATTGCTTCTTCTTCCTTCTCTTTAGAATTTTGGATAATACTCTGGTTTGCAAATATGGAGAAATCTCTAAATTATTTCGTAAATTGGCCTATTTTGGATTTTTTTTTTGAAAAATTAGGAGGATTGGTACGTAGGCATGTGGTATAATTCGAATGTTGTATATTTAATATTTATTTATATAAAATTTAAAATTTTAAATTGCACTACAAATACTATTAATATTAGCTTTTTAAAAAGATTTTTAGTCATATATTTTAATATGTTTAAATAGGTGCATTTACTTGCATACTGTTTTTTTGGGAATTTACATACATACCACCAAATTCTTATGAACATAATACCTATTTGATTTTCAAATTTTTTTTATAAAAAAGTATTACTATTTTAATTTTTAAAAATTAAAATGCACATTTTGAATTTTCATACATAGATAAGGTGGTGTGTGTGTGTGTCTCTCTCTCTCTCTCTCTCTCTCTCTCTATATATATATATATATATATGAGTGAAATACACCTTTTAAAATGTAAGTATTAGATATGAAAATACCTAAGAATTGAGTGGTATGCACATAAATTTTCCTAAAATATTATATAAATAAATCTAAAATTCTAAAATTTAAATATTGAGTATACAAACTCATTGGTATTGTGTGGTATATGTGCCACACTTATTATTTATATTATGCCAAAAAATTTGGGAGATTTGAGCACATAAATTATATTTTTTATTATGATATTATTACCAACTAATGATATTTAGTGTGTGTGTGTGTGTGTGTGTGTATATATATATATATATAATTTTAGATATTATTGTGCTCTTTAAAATTTAGGTGATGTTATTATAAATAAAAATAATTGAATGTTAAATTTATAAAATTTAAAATTTACTTTTTTGTATTTATTTGCCCCAATTTAATAGCATTATTATGATTTATTACATA